AGAGAGAGAGAGAGAGAGAGAGAGAGAGAGAGAGAGAGAGAGAGAGAGAGAGAGAGAGTTTACACCGAGACTGCGCGTGCGCGCAGGAAGGGCCGCGGAAGGGAGGGGAACAACGGGATTAACACACTCATGCTCCTAAGCAGACGGTCCTCCAGTTCAGTTCCCCCGTCCCCGCCCGGATAAGTACATACACACATACATGCATGCAATCAACAACCCTTGGCAGGACATCCAATCATCCATAGACCTTTGACATCACTCATGCGCACAACAAGCTCCCATCACTCGGGGCCTCACACACACGTCCTGCATAGACAAAGCAGCAATGGAGATAAAAGCGAGTCCTTCTTGTATACAAAAATTCTCAACTAACTGCCGCCCCCGGGCGCAGCCTTCAAAACTTCCCAAGACCACCAACCACCATAGCCACAAGGCCCTGCCGCGGCCGGCGTCCAATCCCCACCACTGCTCAGTCCCTCCGACTGCTTCGCCCCGAGTCTACCGCGGGTCCACCCCGCGTCGTCGCTCCGCCCGTCCTTGGGCTCGTCGAGCCTGTTCAGCGCCGCGGACTTCGCGCATAGCTCGCACAGCATTGCAGCCGAGATCAAAAAGAGAGGGAGAGGAGAGGGTTGCGCGAATTTATAGTGCGGGAGGCGGCGGGTTGTCAGCGCGAGGTGCGGGCAGCGAAGGGTGTAGATGAGCAGGACAGAAGAAAGGTGGGGAGTCAGAGGGTTCGACCCGCGGGGTTGCGTGGTCCTGCGTGATTGGGGTGTTCGTTCAAGTGGTGCGCGGTTTCCCGCTCTCCACATTGATCCGAGCATCCCAACTATGCAGCCAATCACTTCGCGGAGGAAGATGGGGTAAGGATCGAGCTGGGCGTAGGGGAAGACGAAGAGTCCTGCATGGGGGAAACGTGCGCAGCAAGAATTGGAAGATGGCGCGGGGACGCAAAGCACGAAACAGGGGTGCGAGACGCGCGAAGAAGTCGGAGCTTAGGCACGCGCGCACGCAAAAATTCAAAAAAATCCCAACCGAAACCGTTTCTTGGTTTTCATACCGCGGCCGCTATTCGCCCGCACGGGAGGTATTAACCCAAAAAAAATGAAAAAGCCGTTTCAAAAAGAAAACAAAAGCAAAAAGAAAGAAAAAACCCTTTTTGTTCGCATCCGTATTTCGGGGCTTCCGGGGGATTTTTCCTCAGGGATACGGCAAGCCGCGCGGTACGGGTCTGAGCTTATCACAAGTGCGGGATGTCTTCTGGTGTGTCAGTGTTACACATCAGACATAGTTCAGAGCTATTCGTGTCTGAGCATTTTCTCCTTTTGTGGAGCCACTGGTTGACAGGTAGGGCCCTGTGGGCTATCAGCTATTGCATGCTACAGATTCTTACCGGTCTGCTGGGGAGGTATTTCGCCCATGGAATGGTGAAAAACACCGTCGGGTTGACCTGAAGTAGCTTTCTCCATTTCTCTATCAGTCCGGGGTCCGGGTTTACTGTCTGCAGTCCAAGATCGTACCCGAACTTAACGTCGTATTCAAATACTGTTCTTGTTTTGCTCATTTTGTCTGGTCTCCAGATCCATTCCTTGGGGTCGAATTCCAAGTCCATGATGCTGTGTTCTGGTTGGAAGATCACCCATGGCTTAGTCCGAGAGACTGACCTTCCCGAGTGTGAAAGTTTCTAAGATCTCAAGACAAACTTGGCCAGGTAGCTTGTTCCCGTGAGGCGACTGATGAGCCGGTATGCTCTCCTGGGTTGGACCTGAGCGATGAGTAGGCCCCAGTCCCCGGCTTTCCATGTGAACTTTGCTTTTAGCAGGGCTATGCATCGGTGTGGGATGCTCTGTTGTACCAGAGAGACATCGGTCTCAAGAGAGCATCCCTTCAGGGGGATTCACATCTCCTGTTCTGTCAGCCAATCCCTTAGTTCCTCTGACCATAGGTGTTTGACCTGCCATACCCCTTTTTCTAGCCAGGACAACCATCTCCAGTCTTTGGGGTGCAGGCTCCAGGGGTTGCCTCTGTGTCCGTGATCCATGGGTTGCAGAATAGGGGACGTCTGAGCACTTCCTCTTTGCTGTTGGGAGCGCTGTGTTTACTTGGCATGACTCGGCGCTAGGCGTTCACGGTTGGCTTCCAATATGGGGTTGGGGTCGGGCTGGCCTGTTCCGGTGATTGAGGTAGGGTACTCCTTCGAGGCCGTCCTGTCCCAATGGACCATTCTCTGGCCATTATCCAGAACAGGCCGCTCATGTTGGGAGGGGTCCTGACAGGTGCCAGGTTCCTTATGCTGTCCAAAGCCATTTTGGTCCACGGCAAGGCCTGTCTAATTAGGATTTTGATAATCCATTTTATCTGGAGTGCAATTGCCTCCATTTTAGGGTCTATTATACCCAGGCCTTCTCCTGTTGGTTTCCTGATGATGTAATGCCAGGCTTCTTTGTTGATCTAAGTAGTTCTGTTGGGTGAAGGGGCATAAACCTTAAAAATACGAAGTACTAAAGTAGTAAAAACATCAAAAACAAGGAAGGGAAAAACGGGGGGAGAAGGAAAAGGAAAAATGGAAAAGGGGAAGGAGGAGGAAAAAAAGAGGTAAAACCTTGAAATCGTTGGGTTGAATGGAAGCTACAGAGCACGGTTACAATAGGTCGTACATACATAGAGTAGAAGTCCTTCAAAATGGTCGGACTTAGGAACATGAAGCAGGGCTTTAGGAAGTGGACATGCAAGAAGACAAAAACGATGGGGACGAAAGGGTTGCAGGGAGTTAGGAACCGGACACAAAAGGAGTCAAAGTCGTCGACGAAACGACGATACGGGGCCCGTGAGACTGCTAGGACCCCCCCCCCCTCTCCCCCGGCCCTTCTTGGGATTCCCCTGCTGCGTGGCTGGGTGCTGCCAGTAAGCTTCCCGATTAGCAGCGGAACCCTTGAAGAAGGGCCACGGTCTGGGGGGTGGGACGCCCCATAGCAGGCCCCCCCTTGGCTAGCGCCGCAGGGGTAAGGCTGACCCTGTGTCTTTCCTCTTTCCACCTTCTGAGCTGAGGAAACATGCTTGCCAGTGATACGTAACCGGACTGATGCCCCCCAGAATAGCAGGAGTCTTGTTGTTGATAGAAAAAAAAAAAAAAAAAAAAAAAAAAAAAAAAAAAGGCAAGAAGAGGGCAAACAGTAGAGACACCTCCGAAAGCACTTCCCAGAGAATCCAACACTTGAAGAGTTTGCCAAACTGGAGCATATGTCATCAGTGGTGTTGAAGAAAGAAGAGGGTGGGGGGAGAAGGGCAAGAAGAGGGAAGCAAGTAAGGAAACATCACCTATGCAAGCACTTCCCAGAGAACCCGGCATTTGAGGAGTTTGCCAAACTGGAGCATATGTCGTCAATGGTGTCCTTCGATATTGAGT